ACAACTAATCGTAAGATAGTAGATGAAGTGGCTATATTAAAACAGCCAAGGCAGATTTCTAGGACAAGGATAAACAGGACAGCAATAGAGAGGAAGATTTCAAATGATAAAGGGATCAATTCTCCAGGAAGTCATTATAATCCTAAATGTGTATGCACCTGATAACAGACCTTCAAAGTATGAGAAGCAATAACTGATGGAACTGAAAAGAGAAATAGATAAATCGACAATTATAGCTGAAAGATTTCAACATTCTCCCCTCAGTAATTGGTAGAACAAACAGAAAATCAACAAACATAGTATTTGGGTTATTAAAAACTTATTAGGATTGGTTTCCTATTACTTCCTTAGGGACTAGATGAGTGCATCTAAAATGTGATATTAGAATTAGATATTAGGGCCGGCCTGGTGGTGTACTCGGTAGAGTGCGGCGCTTGGGAGTGTGGCGGCACTCCCGCCGAGGGTTCGGATCCCATATAGAGACCGGTCCGCTCACTGGTTGAGCGCGGTGCGGGCGCGACACCGAGGGTTGCGATCCCGTTGCCGGTCACGAAAAAAGACAAAAAGGAAAAAAAAAAAAAAAAGAATTAGATATTAGATTAGAACTGAGTTTGAGAGTTCCTAGTTTGCAACTTCCCTTCCTGGAATCCAATTCCTCACCTTCAAAATAGAGTAATACCAGGGCCAGCCCGTGGCTCACTCGGGAGAGTGTGGTGCTATTAGCACCAAGGCCAAGAGTTTGGATCCCTATATAGGGATGGCCGGTTCGCTCACTTGGGAGAGTGTGGTGCTGACAACACCAAGTCAAGGGTTAAGATCCCCTTACTGGTCATCTTTTCTAAAAAAAATTAAAAAATAACAAAACAAAACAAAATGGGGTAATATCACCTTATTCACAAGGTTGTAGTGATAATTATTAGATCAGAATGGAAAGCAGTCTATGGCCGGCCTGTGGCTCACTCGGGAGAGTGCGGTGCTGATAACACCAAGGCCCCGGGTTCGGATCCCATATAGGGATGGCTGGTTCGCTCACTGGCTGAGCGTGGTGCTGACAACACCAAGTCAAGGGTTAAGATCCCCTTACCAGTCATCCTTTTATAAAAAAAAAAAAAAAAAAAAAAAAAAGAATGGAAAGCAGTCTGGACACCATAAAGCACTGTGCAAATTCTAGCTATTTTTATTGCATTTGTCTGGTTGTCTAAGAAACTAGATTCCTCTCTGTTACAGGGTTAGATACTATCCAGCCCCTGGCAATTGATCACCAGCCTGCCTGTCTCCTTGATAGCTGGGGTGCCCAGCTGGCCCCTGTGTGTGTTCTCAAAACTCTGCCTCAGGCTCTGTCCCTTGGCAGGGCATGCAGAAGGAATCATAAATTTCAGAAACATTGCTTCAGTATCAGCTGGTTTCCCAAGACTGCTTCCTCAATTTTCTGCCTGGTGTCCTTTCCCTGTTACCCAGTTCCTCTGTCTCTGGACTCCTTATTCCTGTTGTTTGGTTTCTCTTTGTGGTTCCCTGGCTTCTTTGGCGCCAACTCTCTGTGCTCTGATCCAACCAGCCTATCACCAGCCACACTTTCCTGCAGGGGTGGGCTGCACCTAGACCCACCTGGGCTCATGGAGTCTCACTTGTCTCCCCCTGGCCTAGGACACCTTCACCACCCACCAAATTCTGGTTTTGCTCTTCCCAGACATGCTCTGGTGCC